ATCAGGAGTACTCTTTTTAACCTTATCAGCTGACACTTAGTACTTGTGCATACATATGAATTGTATTTTTGAAACTTCAGCGTGATATTTTGTATTGTATTTATTGTAATTTGGTGCATTTATCACCACTTTTTTCTTTTTTCCTTTTTTTTCCTCACAAGAGACTTAACGATTCGAAGTCAGGGTGAGTTGCCAGTTCTCACTTTTTTGAGATTGGGCCAATAATGTTAGGTCAGTTGGTTAATGATTCTTTTAATAAGAATATAATCAACCATATGGTAAAAAAAGACCTTTTCTGTTGTAAAAGCGTTGTATGCCCTTGATTTTTTTTTTTTTTAAGTTAAGGCCACAGCATTTTTTTTTTCTTGAATAGGGGGCCCGCCGACATTTATTTCCAAGAAAAAAAAGAAAAAAAATGAATATCCCGATTTTTTGTCTATGATTCATTGTGTATGGTATTGTTTCTCCCGTCCCCAAAACAAAAATGAAAAATGTTTCGTGGAAATACCTTGCGTCATGTGTCATGTCATGTCTATTGCCTATCGTGTCCGTGGTCGGTGGTCACTTCAAATCAGTCCAGGCGTATTTCGCAATATGTACGGAGAGACTGCGGACTAGGATGTAAACACTCACATTCAGACATCAAAACAAGAATGGCCATGGCGAGTGGTGCGCAAAATACCACTGTACATATAAATTTTATTTTTTTAATGAATATTTTTGGTTTTGATTTCCAAAATAATAAATTCTGGTTGAAAGAATTCTTTTTATGTTCTAGTACGACAGAATTGTACTCCCTCCAGGTGGGGCTGGAACTGATACATTCCTTTATGTCTGATCTTTGGAAGGTATAAGGTACACTTGTCTTATTTTGGTGCTGGGGATTTTTTTTTTCTTTTTCTTTCCTCCCGCCGACTTTTCTTTATTACCAGACTTACCCGCTATTTAAGAATAAAAATTGCTGTGGCCTAACACGCTACGAACTAATGTTGACGAAATCGGAATATCAAATTTCAGAAAATTAGCGTTTGAGATTAAAAAAGAAGAAGAAGAGAGAACAAAATAAAACGGTATAAGTGAATAAAATAAAAAATGCAAGCTAAATATTTTCTTTATTTGAATATTTAAGTTTCGATATCACCTATACGAATAAAAAAAGCTTTAGAGCTCTAGTTTTAAAAAATTGAAAAGATACCACTTTCCCGCCAAAAAATCGTAAAAGCAATTTGAAAAGACGCGACTCATCAAGTAAACCAGAATATCGTGTTTCTGACTATCATTTTTTTTATCGATTATTTAGACAACAATCATAATAGTACAAGTGTCAACGCATTACCGATGCTTTATACGTTTGTCGGTTCGAAACAAAGCTGAGAATTAAGGAATGACAGCATATATATATATATATATATATATATATATATATATATATATTATATATATATATATATATATACATATATATATGTGTGTGTGTGTGTGTGTGTGTATGTGTGTGTGTGTGTGTGTGTGTGTGTGTATGTGTATGTGTATGTGTGTGTGTGTGTGTGTGTGTGTGTGTGTGTGTGTGTGTGTGTGTGTGTCTTTCTTTTTTCTATTTGATATTAAAAACAATGGAGGTTAATCAAAGAGCGAGACAAAGAATTCAATCCTAAAGATGAAACCTCACTGATGTCGAAAATATTCCCTTATTATCCTATGACCTCCTTTTCTCAATTGTGTATTTCCCATTTATCATCTTTATGTCACAATTTAACCATATATTTTGTCGATCGCAGGGCAGGTGCGCAAACGTGCCGCTCGCTCTTCAGTGTTGACAGTGGCTACAGGATGAATGACAATCAGTAAGTGATATCAACAGGAAATATCAAATAAAAATATTTGATATTTCTGTAGTTCTCTTTCTCTTGTCTCTGTTTCTTTCTCTCTCTTTTCTGTCTCCGTCTCTGCCTCTGTCTCTGTCTCTGTCTCTGTCTCTATCTCTGTCTCTGTCTCTGTCTCTGTCTCTGTCTCTGTCTCTCTCTCTCTCTCTCTCTCTCTCTCTCTCTCTCTCTCTCTCTCTCTCTCTCTCTCTCTCCTCCTCTTCCTCACTCCCCCTTTCCTCTATCAAATACTTTCGTTTCATAAAAAAGAAGAAAGTTCGAATCCTTTTTTTTATTTGAGACTCTTTTTCGCAATAAGTGATTTCATCAAGAAACCACTCTAATAAAGATTCAAATTATTTCGTTTCATAAGAAAAAAAGGTTCGAATCCCTTAATTTGTACTCAATACTCTTTTTTTTTCGCAGGATGATCAACCACTTCCCAACGCACACTACGAACTCACGCGAAAGGATCTCATGGTGAAGAACGTGAAGAGATACCGTCGAGAATTGGAACGTGAGGGTCGCCATTAGCAGCCAGGGATGCTACGGGTAAAGATTCTTCACTGTTTAAATATTGATATATATAACATCTAACAAAAATGGGGTCGAATACGCATTTTATCATAATAATTTACAACAGTAGAGCAACGTTATTGATCGTAAATCATGGCTTATATACGTGATCGCCACCAGGTCGTTACATACACCTGGACTTCCTCCCAACAACGTTCATGCTTCCCGCCGATTATAATCTTTTCGTCGAGGAATTTCGCCGGAACCCCAACACCACGTGGATCCTGAAGCCGGCCGGTCGGTCTCAAGGCGTAGGTTAGTTGCACGACCGCTTTACCGTCTCTCTTTTTTTTTGTTTGTCTGGTGTTTTTCTTTGCTTGTCCATTCGTTTGAGTTTGACTATTTTAGAAGAGCATTTCCTAACCCCAGGGTGATTTATTTCCCCCGGGGTACATAGTTTACTAAAATATTCGTCCTCAGAAGAAAAGAAATAGAAATTGTGTGATAATAAAAACGTTTATAACAAAGAAATCCAGTTATGCAAAAAATGGCTATTGCAAAGGGATTTGGGATAGTTAACCAGCCGAAAGGATAAACTGGTACGAATGAAGTAGTTTAATAGGATAAATTACCCCTCCCACCTTAAAATAAAAGAAAAAACTTTTGTGTTTTTCCTCAACATAACAAAACGACATTTTACCATTAAATTAATAATACAACTCGTTCATGAATTTCTGCGTGTCTAATCATTATTTTTTCCTACAACAGGCATATTTTTGGTGAACAAACTGGCCCAGATTAAAAAGTGGTCGCGGGACACCAAGAGTTCCTTTAACCCCGCGCTCGTCAAGGACACTTATGTGATCTCCAGATACATTGAGAATCCGCTGCTCATTGGCGGGAAGAAATTTGACTTGAGGACGTTTTTTTATCGTTTTTTTTTTTTTAATTTTGTGTGGATATTATGAAGAAAAATTTGGTTTGTATTGTTTCATAATGCCCGCATTATACCCCCCTCTTTCTTTTCTCTCTCTCTATCTATCTCTGTTTATTTATTCATATATAACTCTATATCTGTCTATCGATTTCTTATATATATATATAATATATATATATATATATATATATATATATATATATATATATATATATATATATATATATATATATATATATTTGTGCGCATGGTTTATTACTGACGTTTATACTCCGAAAACATGTCTATAAACACTGTAATCATATGATTCTTCCCTCTTATCTAGATACATTCTGGTGACGTCATACCGACCCCTGAAAGCATACATGTACAAGCTGGGATTCTGCAGATTTTGCACTGTTCGCTATGACACATCAGGACAGGAGCTTGACAACATGTTCGTCCACCTCACCAATGTCTCCATTCAGAAACACGGGGTAAGGAAAAGAGAAATTATTTTGCACAAAGAAAGAAGAGAGAGAGAGAGAGAGAGAGAGAGAGAGAGAGAGAGAGAGAGAGAGAGAGAGAGAAAACATTTTCTGCATTTTTTAAGCCTAATTTTAAGTCTGTCTCAACCAGAGTCACCATTCACAAACTTGGGATAGAAAAATAAATAAAAATAAATAAATAAATAAACAGAGGGTTACATGCAAACAGACACGATGATAGGAAGACAAAGAAAAATTCAGCGTTTTCAAATCCACTTTTCTCCCATTTCTTCAGAGTACAATAACATCCACACAAAAAAAAAAAAGAAATGCAAAAGAGAGGATTTTACATACAAACAGACACGAAGATCTGAAGACAGAGAATACCATTAGCGTTTTAAAACCTGAAGACAGAGAATACAATTAGCATTTTAAACCTGAAGACAGAGAATTTTTTAGATTAGCGTTTTCTGATCTTTCCTTTTTCCTTCTTCAGGAGGGAGTACAACAATGTCCATGGAGGAAAGTGGCCTATGAGAACCCTCCGTCTCTACCTGGAAGGAACTAGGGGCAAGACAAGCACAGACAAACTCTTCACAGACATCACGTGGCTGGTGGTTCACTCCCTCAGGGCTGTCGCTCCCATCATGGCGTCTGACAGACACTGCTTCGAGTGTTATGGGTATGACATCATCATAGACGATCAGCTGAAACCGTGGATGATCGAGGTATGATATGGGATGGTGTTGGTTCAGGGCGCTCTTGTCGACTTCAGCTCACTCCATTCTGTCTCTGTCTCTCTCTCGTCTCTTCTATTTTCTCCCTCTATCTCTGTCACTCTTCTCTTTGTATGTCTGTCTGTCTCTCTCGTCTCTCTATTTCTCCCTCTATCTCTGTCACTCTTTCTCTCTGTATGTCTGTCTGTCTCTCTCTCTTCTCCTCTTTCTCTTTATCTGTCTGTCTGTCTGTCTGTCTCTCTCTTCTCTCTCTCTCTTCTTTTTGTCTGTTCTGTCTGTCTGTCTGTCTGTCTCTCTCTCTCTCTCTTCTCCTCTCTTCTCTCTCTCTATCTCTTCTTTCTCTTTCTCTTTCTCTCTCTCTCTCTCTCTCTCTCTCTCTCTCTCTCTCTCAACACACACACACACACACACACACAACACACACACACACACACAAAGAAACAAAACTCCCCAGAGTGTGGTTATTAGTCGACAACCTCATTCATAATGTTCCTTGACCCCCCCCCCCCCCAGGCCTATTCTCGCCCAGCCTCAAGGGGAAGTTTGTGGCCTAATATTGGCGTTGTGCCGAGAGGACGTGTAAGCCAAGGTGTTTCCAGGGGCGAGTCCCAGGGTGGATAATTTATCTTTGCCTGGAGGACCCTAATCGAATTGTGTGAGCTGCGGCCACGTCATATCAAAGAGCAAACTGGTTATACCTTCCCCCATCTCCTGTGCCTTTCCTATTGCTAATTTTACTGTTAGTATATTAGTAATATCTTTGGTCCCCAATTGCTAATTTACTGTTAGTATTATTAGTAATATCTTTGGTCCCCATCCACTGGGCCTTTCCTATTGCTAATGAGTATTGTTAGTGATATCTTTGGCCCCATTCCCTGTGCCTTCCATGTTGCTAATATTACTTTCAGTATTATTAATAAACTCTTTGTCCCCATCCCCTGTGCCTTTCACATTGCTAATTTTACTGTTAGTATTATTAGTGATGTCTTTGGAGCTCATATTTATGTCATTGCTAATATTACTGTCAGTATTACTGTTATTAGTAATATCTTTGTATGCTCATAATGATATCAATATGACTACTATTATCAGTACCATCATTATCATTAATATCATCTTTTATCATCACTTTATCTTTTCAATATCATTATCCTCATCACTGTTCTTTCAGTATCGTTATCCTTTCATTATCATTATCCTTTCATCATCGTTATCCTTTCATTATCATTATCCTTTCAATATCATTATCCTCTATTATCGCTATCTTTCCATTATCATTATCCTCCATTATCACTATCCTTCCATTATCATTATCCTTCCATTATCATTATCCTCCATTATCACTATCCTTCACATTATCACTTCATATCATTATCTCCATTATCACTATCCTTTCAATTCATCCTTCCATTATCATTATCCTCCATTATCACTATCCTTTCATTATCATTATCTTCCATTATCAGCAATCCATCATCCATTATCATTATGATGATACTTTAATAATGAACCATCTCCTTATAGGTCAATGCGTCCCCTTCGATGACGTCAACCACAGCCAACGACAGAATCCTCAAGTACAAACTAGTGGATGACCTTATTAACATTGTGCTGCCACCTGACGGGATACCCAAGTAAGTCATCGGGATTTCTTTAATGCTTTAATTAGTCTTTACTGTTAGGCTGCATGATGAGTGTTACGACAGTGGTGGTGTTGACCTCTGTGGTCTGTTTGCTTCCTTTTTTTTTCTTTCTTTCTCTCTCGCTATCTTTCTCTCTCTCTCTCTCTCTCTCTGGTGTGTTTGTTTCCTTTCTTTCTTTCTCTCTCGCTCTCTTTTTCTTTCTCTCTCTTTCTTTGGTCTGTTTGCTTCCTTTCTTTCTCTCCTCTCTGATCTGTTTGCTTCCTCTCTCTCTCTCTCTCTCTGATCTGTTTGCTTCCTCTCTCTCCAGTCTCGCTCCCGTTTCTAATATCATCTTTTAGTGATTATGAGTTCAAATATCTAAAGCTTCTTCCATGCTAAATTATATATATATATATATATATATATATATATATATATAATATATATATATATATATAGAGAGAGAGAGAGAGAGAGAGAGAGATATATATATATATATATATATATATATATATATATATATATATATATATATATATATATATATATATATATATATATATATATATATATATGTGTGTGTGTGTGTGTGTGTGTGTGTGTGTGTGTGTGTGTGTGTGTATGTATGCATATATGTCTCCTGGACAATGTTTATGTCACTGATTTCTTTGTATATAGCGCAACCTTCCCCTGTCACTCCTTACAGCGTCCACTGGAACAAAGTCCCGACTCCGGACAAGTACGGCGACTTCGAGCTGCTGATCGACGAGGAGCTGTACCAGAACAGCGACCACTCGTCCAGCCACCGCGGAGGCCGTCAGTCCGACCGCCACTCCGCCCCTCGGTGGAAATAGCCCGCGGCCAAGAAGTGTGGCAGGACATCCTCCACGCTTCCCACTCACGCTCAACGAGACATGGCCAGCTCCTCCACCAGCAGCTCCTCCAAGAAGGCCGACGTCGGATCGCCCAAGGATACCGTCCGCTCGCAGGTAGAGGTCGCTTACGGGGAGGAACCAGGTTTTAACGACCCGACCACCTCTTCAGCAGCGTCGAGGTGGTAGCGAGCTGGTCCTCGGGCTTTGTCTCAAGTGGGAAGGTAGAGAGTGTTCAACCGCACTTCTTGCTCTTCAAGATGACCCGGCCTTCGATCTCCTGGATATGATCAGCGCTGGAACCCAAAAACAGACACAAGAAAATTCCTCATAGACTGACACATCGAAGAAAACAGGTTTGTCCCTTGAGAAAGTGACATATCTCCGGTGTATTTTCAAGGCTATATGATCGTTTACACAGGACTAAATTATGCCAGGTGTTCCTTGATGTCTTATATCTCAAACAAACGACAAAGAAGATCTAAAACAGCCATGAAAAAAGAATTTCTAGTGCACACCACTAAAACGAAAATTTGATAATTCTCGCACATTATGTTCGGAACTCCTCGTCCTGCTCGTCCAGACGAATTGAACAAGATGTCTTGACCGATCGGAACCTCTACTTTCTCGTCCTGGACAAGTTGTCCATCTCGTCCATCTCGCCCTCCTGCGAAGGTGGGCGAACAGGACGAGATGACGTCACAATAGCATTTGTATGTAAACAATGCCAGTTGCAGGAAACCACAAGATATGATAGATAATGCTATTGCCGTTTATTGATGTTATCAAAGGATATTTTTGTGTTTGTCAGTTGCAGGTAAGTTGAATATGCATCAACTGAGTTACAAAACCTACGCAGCGTGTAAAATAAAGACATCGGTATGATAAAAAGAATGTTTACTGGTCTTGGAGGTTCCGAACGCGGCCTCGTAGTCCTGATCCTGACAAGGAGTCCCGAACGCAGCATTTGAAGGGAAATATTCTTGGAAATTACGCATTGATAATGTGCATACGACGATTTCGATTACCACATATCACTGTTGATCTTAACTATATACGTACTTTTGGAAGCATCGAGTTTATCTTTCATAAAATCTGTTTTGAAAGATTTTAGTGAATGATAAGGACGTAGTAATATATGCTTTTATCTAACCAGCGGGGGAAAAATGTACTGCTTGCGAGAGAATGAATGTATTTGTTTTCTTGTTCTTAAAAAAAAAAAAAGCTCTGTCACTTACAGCATACATGAAAGTTTGACATTGGTGATTAACTGATGTGTAAATAATGAACCATATAAGAGATTTTGATGCGAAAGTGGGTTCAAAATGTAGAAGTGAACCGAATATAAAGAAATGGAACGATTCAGGAAAGATTTCGTGTTTAGTTGGTTTTGTCATGTTTGGTTCATATTTTATGTTTGGAGATTTGCTAGTTACGTGTTTTCGATATCACATTTCTTTTTCTTTTACATTTCTTCTTTATTGACCACTATTTTTTACTCTTATCTTTCGTCTTTCTTTTCTTTTTGCTTTACTAGTTCTATGAGATATAGAGATTCGTTTAAACCTTTTTTTTTTATCCATTTCTTTATATATTTTCGTTTTTGTGTCTTGATAAATATATGTCGCGTTTGTTATTGCAAGTACATTTGGCCTTGAGAACTATGTCCTTCGCTTTGTCCCGATCCTCAGTGCACAAAATCCTAATGAAAAAAAAATGCTGGAAATGAGTCGATGTCCTATAGAATGCGACGAAAGGAGTGTGGTTTGTTTCGCCAGTGACCGAGCATTTGTATTCTTTCAGTTATGAATGTGTACCCGCCCGCATGATAAACATTGCGGAAGTCACACTTGCACAGCGTCGCCATTCAGTCTGTGTTGGCATGCCTGTCACAGCTGGCGAATAAAACAGCACGTAGAGCATAAACAGACACAGCTGGCCACATGGATACAGCAACAATTGAGCAAGTGTATAAGGCAGCAAACAAGTGCATTGCAACTCGCTGTAGAATCCTGCTGATGAGAGTAGAGTAGAATTAACATCTAATTATGCTTCCGGAACTGTTTTTAATCTGATGAATACTTTATTACAGTTTTATAAAGTGCATTTTAGCCATCGGTCTTTCTTAGTTACCGCGTTTGTATAAAGGATTGATTGGCGTTTAAGGTCAAATTCGCCAATTCCAGATTTCTCGAACAATTTTTAATAAGGCTGTTTAATATACCTACGGGGTTGTAACCTCAGCATTTCACTTGCGCTCATTTGAGTATAGTAATAGTCATTGTCCTTCGATACGGATCCAAATTCATTCGTGTCTATATCGTTTCTCTGTTTTCAATACGATCATATGGTGCTTACCGCATTTATGTACGCAGCGAAGGTACGTTCGTTATAAAGCTTCCATGGTATATATCAGACCACCGTCTACACCAGTGTTTTCCTCATAATTCTTCCCTTGTATAAGCCAGCGCAAAAAAATATATAATTTGCGATTATCACTTCCATTTCCTACGGGAAGACCATTATCTTAATAATAATCTTGCCGCGTATTTCTTTCTTCCACTGCCAGGGTCAAATAAAACATTAAAAAGTAAAAAAAAAAAAAAGTTTTATTTCTGCGTCATGCTTCTTCTTCCTTCCCCACGAACACCAGAAAAGCTGCCTTTGCCCCCGCATGGCCGGCAGAGGTCACAGGGGTCAGGATGAATGTGCTAGAAGACCCGACCCGAGCTCCCCCCGCCTTCCAGCGCCGCCCACCCGGGGGGTTTAGGGCGGCACCTTCATGGCACCATGCATGGGCGAAGGCGCGGACTCCCAGCGGTCACGAGGAAGGCACAAGAGACACACGAAGCAGCAGTAGCAACATGACTGTCAAGTTATCAAAAAAGTTCACACACTTACATCAAAATTAACAATAAGATCTGAAGCCTTCGGAGAAAAAAAAAAAAAAAAAAAAAAAAAAAAAAAAAAAAAAAAAAAAAAAGTTAAAATTCCTGGCTCAGGAGGAACAACACGTCGTTCTTGATCTCTTCCGGCTTGGTGCCAGGGTCGTACCGCATGAACGGCTTGCCGCTCTTGGTGATCAGGAACTTCTCCCAGTTCCAGCGGACGTCACTGATGCGGACGGGTTCGTAGTACAGCTTCGACTTATCCGAAAAGGACTCCCTGGTGGTCGGGCAGTACTCCTGGGGACGGAAAAAGGTGTTAAGGGTGAATTCCTTATGTCCTGCTGTACGTCTGCATTCCTTATGTCCTGCCGTCTGCATTCGTCTGCTGTACATCTGCATTTATTCTATATGATGACAATAGTGATAATTCTAGTAATAATCTTAATAATAACACTAACAATGATAATAACACTAAATAATATAATAACACTAACAATGATGATAATAATAATAATAAAACTAAAATGACTAGTAATAGTAATAAAAAATTAATAATAAAAACACAACGTGCTATAGAACAGTTGTAAATGAATATGAATAACTTAAACCTCGAAACTTGTGAAATTTAAACCCAAAACCTTATAACCAACGCCATTTAAACACCAAAAAAAAAAAAAACCTAAAAACCCCATAACCAACAACCCTAAAACCTATAACACACACAAAAAAAATTAAAAAAACAAAAACCCCATAACCAACCGCAAAACCTATCACTAAAAAAAAAAAAAAAAAAAAAATCTCTCACCTTGAGGTAAGTGTACAGCGGGTGTTCATTCTCGCCGTTCACTTCGATCTTCTTGAACAGAGTGAAATTTGGCTCGAACATGTTGCCCGGGCGAACGTACTTGATCCCGTTATAGAGCTCCGTGGCGTTCGCTGCCGGCTCTTGCTGCAAATAAATAAATAAATGAGTAAATAAGTGAATTAATGAATAGGTGAATAAAGAGAAATATAAATAGGGGAATAAATGAGTAGATTATAGGTGAATAAATGAGTGAATCAATAAATAGGTGAATAAACGAGTGAATAGATAAGTAAATTAATAAATAGGTGAATAAATGAGTGAATTAATAAATAGGTGAATAAAAGAGTAAATTATAAATAGGTGAATAAATGAGTGGATTAATAAATAGGTTAATAAATGAGTGAATTAATAAATAGGTGAAAAAAAGAAATTAGTATATCAATAAATGGATGAGTACAATGAGAAAAAGAATATATTAAACAAATGGATAAATATATGAAAAACGAAATAGATGAATATGATGAAGCAGATTAATAGAATAAACAAAAAAATAAATATATGAAGAAAGAAATAGATGAATATGATGAAGAAACAAATGAATAAATTAAACAAATGGATAGATATATAAAATAAATAAAAAAAATATGACGAAAACGTAAATGAATAGATTAAACAAAGATAAATATATGAGTAAAGAAGTGGAAGAATATAATAAAGAAGCAAATGAATAAATCAAACAAATCAAGAAAGAAATGCAAATGGCGACGAATGACAAAATATGAAATATTATTTCAGAAAAATAAGCATCTTTGGAACTGGGCGATTAATGTATTAATTACGAAAATGGTTTAAACTCATCATGAATATGTCTTTAAACAGCTTCAAAGTGAATGAGAAAAATGTCATAGGTGATTGTAATGATGCTGATACTGTGTACATCGCGATATGTGTACGTGCGTCTTTGCGTGTGTACGTTCATATGTGCGTATGCCATTGTAGGGAAAGGTGTGAATGAGAATGAATATCACAGTACAAGAGATGTATTTGACCGCTTTCGAATATGTATTTTTGACGAAGATAGGATCGAACCCGGTCAAATACATCTCTTGTATCGTGAAGATATTCATTCTCATTCATACCTTTCATATCTTTGTCAACATGGATACGGTTCATCGTGTGTCTGCAGGAATGTGCGGGTCCCGTTACCGTGTGAGCAGAGGCAGTCGTGTGTGTCGGTTCCACGCCATAAACAAGAAATATAAACACGTAAATATGAGAAAGTACTATTGGTGGTTTATGTACGAAGCTTATTCGACTACTCGCGTGAACACAAGTAGTCGTTTGTTTGTAATTTATTCTCACAAACAAGGGAGATAAACACGTGAATATGAGAAAGTATTATTGGTGGTTTATGTACATAGTTTATTCGACTACTAGCGTGAACTCAAGTGGTCGTTTGTTTGTAATTTATTCTCACAAACGAGAGAAATAAACACGTGAAAGTGAGAAAGGAAGACGAAAAAAGATAAAAAAAAAAAAATACATCCTCACAAACAAGAGAAATACACACGTGAATATGAGAAAGTATTCTTGATGGTTTATGGACGTCGCCTATACGACTACTCGCGTGAACACAAGTGGTCGTTTGTGGTAATTTATTCTCACAAACGAGAGAAATAAACACGTGAAAGTGAGAAGGGAAGACGAAATAAAAGATAAAAAAATACATCCTCACAAACAAGAGAAATAAACACGTGAATAGGGAGAAGGGAAGACGAAATAAAAGATAAAAAATACATCCTCGCAAACAAGAGAAATAACAACGTGAATAGGGAGAAGGGAAGACGAAATAAAAGTAAAAAAAAAAATATCACCTATACGAATAAAAAAGCTTTAGAGCTCTAGTTTTAAAAAATTGAAAAGATACCACTTTTCCCGCCAAAAATCGTAAAAGCAATTTGAAAAGACGCGACCCATCAAGTAAACCAGAATATCGTGTTTCTGACTATCATTTTTTTTTTTTTTTATCGATTATTTAGACAACAATCATAATAGTACAAGTGTCAACGCATTACCGATGCTTTATGCGTTTGTCGGTTCGAAACAAAACTGACAATTAAGGAATGACAGCAATATATATATATATATATATATATATATATATATATATATATATATATATATTATATATATGTGTGTGTGTGTGTGTGTGTGTGTGTGTGTGTGTGTGTGTGTGTGTGTGTGTGTGTGTGTGTGTGTGTGTGTTGTCTTTTTCTATTTGATATTAAAGCAATGGAGGTTAATCAAAGAGCGAGACAAAGAATTCAATCCTAAAGATGAAACCTCACTGGATGTCGAAAATATTCCCTTATTATCCTATGACCTCCTTTTCTCAATTGTATATTTCCCATCTATCATCTTTATGTCACAATTTAACCATATTTTTTTTTTATCGATCGCAGGGCAGGTGCGCAAACGTGCCGCTCGCTCTTCAGTGTTGACAGTGGCTACAGGATGAATGACAATCAGTAAGTGATATCAACAGGAAATATCAAATATCAATAATATTTGATATTTCTGTAGTTCTCTTTCTCTTTGTCTCTGTCTCTCTCTTTCTGTCTCTGTCTCTGTCTCTCTGCCTGCTGTTTCTCTCTCTCTCTCTCTCTCTTCTCTCTTCTCTCTCTCTCTCTCTCCTCTCTCTCTCTCTCTCTCTCTCTCTCTCTCTCTCTCTCTCTACTCCCCTTTCCTCTAACATCAATACTTTCGTTCATAAAAGAAAGTTCGAATCCTTTTATTTGTATCGAAACTTTTTTCTCGCAAGTAAGTGATTTTCATCGAAACCACTCTAATAAAGATTCAAATTCTTTCGTTTTCATAGAAAAAAAGGTTCGAATCCCTTATTTGTACTCGATACTCTTTTTTTTCTCGCAGGATGATCAACCACTTCCCAACGCACTACGAACTCACGCGAAAGGATCTCATGGTGAAGAACGTGAAGAGATACCGTCGAGAATTGGAACGTGAGGGGTCGCCATTAGCAGCCAGGGATGCTACGGGTAAAGATTCTTCACTGTATTAAATATTGATATATAAAACATCTAACAAAATGGGGTCGAATACGCATTTTATCATAATAATTTACAACAGTAGAGCAACGTTATTGATCGTAAATCATGGCTTATATACGTGATCGCCACCAGGTCGTTACATACATCTGGACTTCCTCCCAACAACGTTCATGCTTCCCGCCGATTATAATCTTTTCGTCGAGGAATTTCGCCGGAACCCGAACACCACGTGGATCCTGAAGCCGGCCGGTCGGTCTCAAGGCGTAGGTTAGTTGCACGACCGCTTTACCGTCTCTTTTTTTTTTTTGTTTGTGTCTGGTGTTTTTCTTTGCTTGTCCTTTCGTTTGAGTTTGAATATTTTTAGAAGAGCATTTCCTAACCCCAGGGTGATTTTATTCTCCCGGGGGTACATAGTTTACTAAAATATTCGTCCTCAGAATAAAAGAAATAGAAATTGTGATGATAATAAAACGTTTATAACAAAGAAATCCAGTTATGCAAAAATTGGCTATTGCAAGGGGGAATTTGGGATAGGTTAACCAGCCGAAAGGATAAACTGGTACGAATGAAGTAGTTTAATAGGATAAATTACTCCTCCCACCTTAAAATAAAAGAAAAAACAACTTTTGTGTTTTTCCTCAACATAACAAAACGATATTTTACCATCAAATCAATATACAACTCGTTCATGAATTCCTGCTCGTCTAATCATTATTTTTTCCTACAACAGGCATATTTTTGGTGAACAAACTGGCCCAGATTAAAAAGTGGTCGCGGGACACCAAGAGTTCCTTTAACCCCGCGCTCGTCAAGGACACTTATGTGATCTCCAGATACATTGAGAATCCGCTGCTCATTGGCGGGAAGAAATTTGACTTGAGAACGTTATGTTATGTTTTTTTGTTTGTTTGTGTGGATATTCTCGTATGTGTAGTCCGAGTTGATGGTTTGATGTCGTATCTATACTATTCTTCTTTCTCTTCTCTCTTCTCTCTCTCTCTCTCTCTCTCTCTCTCTCTCTCTCCTCTCTCTCTCTCTCTCTCTCTCTCTCTCTCTCTCTCTCTCTCTCTCTCTCTCTCACTCTCTCAGTCCTTGTGTGTGTGATGTGTCACTGTGGTGTGTGTGTGTGTGATGTGTGTGTGTGTGTGTGTGTGTGTGTGGTGTGTGTGGTTGTGTGTGATGTGTGTGTGTGTGTGTGTCGAATGAATGACGACATAGGTAATACAGATATACATTTACACACACACCCACACACACACCAAACACACACCACCACACATTATATATATATATATAATATATATATTATAGATATATATATATATATATATATATATATATGTGTGTGGTGTGTTGCGCATGGTTTATTACTGACGTTATACTCCGAAAAAATGTCTATAAACACTGTAAACTCATATGATTCTTCCTCTTATCTAGATACATTCTGGTGACGTCATACCGACCCCTGAAAGCATACATGTACAAGCTGGGATTCTGCAGATTTTGCACTGTTCGCTATGACACATCAGGACAGGAGCTTGACAACATGTTCGTCCACCTCACCAATGTCTCCATCAGAACACGGAGGTAAGGAAAAGAGAATTATTTGCACAAGAGAAAGAGAGAGAGAGAGAGAGGAGAGAGAGAGAGAGAGAGAGATGAGAGAGAGAGAGAGAGAGCGAGAGAGAGAGAGAGAGAGAGAGAGAGAGAGAGGAACATTTTCAGCATTTTTCTAAGCCTAATTTCAAGTCTATCTCAACCAGCGTCACCATTCACAAACGGATAAAAAATAAAATAAATAGATAAATAAACAGAGGGTTACATGCAAACAGACACGAAGATAGGAAGTCAAAGAAAAAAATTCAGCGTTTTCAAATCTTTTTTCTCTTCTTCAGAAGAGACAATAACATCCACATTAAGAAAGAAAATGCAAAAGAGAGGATTTTACATACAAATAGACACGAAGATCTGAAACACAGAAATATCATTAGCGTTTTTTGATCTCCTTTCCTTTCTTCCTTCTTCAGGAGGAGTACAAACAATGTCCACGGAGGAAAGTGGCCTATGAGGACCCTCCGTCTCTATCTGGAAGGAACTAGGGGCAAGACAAGCACAGACAAACTCTTCACAGACATCACGTGTGCTGGTGGTTCACTCCCTCAGGGCTGTCGCTCCCATCATGGCGTCTGACAGACACTGCTTCGAGTGTTATGGGTATGACATCATTATCGACGATCAGCTGAAACCGTGGATGATCGAGGTATGATATGGGATGGTGTTGGTTCAGGGCGCTCTTGTCGACTTCACTCTCGCTCCATTCTGTCTCTGTCTCTCTCTTCGTCTCTTCTATTTTCTCCCTCTATCACTGTCACTCTTCTTTTTGTGTATGTCTGTCTGTCTCCTCCTCTCGTCTCTTCTATTATCTCTCTCTATCTCTGTCACTCTTCTCTCAGTATGTCTGTCTGTCTCTCTCTCTCTCCTCTTCTCTCTTGTCTGTCTGTCTGTCTGTCTCTCTTCTCTTCTCTCTTCTCTTTGTCTGTCTGTCTCTCTGTCTGTCTGTCTGTCTCTCTCTCTCGTTTCTTCTTCTTGTATTCTCTTCTTTCGTCTCTTCTCTTTTCCTCTTCTCCTCTCTCTCTTCTCTCTCTCACAACACACAGCACACACACACACACACACACACACACACACACACACACACCATCACACACACACACACACACACACACACCAGGGACAAACTCCCCAGATGTGGTTATTAGTCGACAACCTCATTCATAATGTTCCTTGACCCCCCCCCCCCGAAGGCCTATTCTCGCCCAGCCTCAAAGGGGAAGTTTTGGCCTAATATTGGCGTTGTGCCGAGAGGACGTGTAAGCCAAGGTGTTTCCAGGGGCGAGTCCCAGGGTGGATAATTTATCTTTGCCTGGAGGACCCTAATCGAATTGTGTGAGCTGCGGCCACCGTCAATATCAAAGAGCAAACTGGTTATACCTTCCCTCCCATCTCCTTGTGCCTTTCCTATTGCTAATTTTACTGTTAGTATTTATTAGTAATATCTTTGGTTCCCCATCCCACTGGGCCTTTCCTATTGCTAATTTTACTGTTAGTATTATTAGTGATGTCTTTGGGAGCTCATATTTATGTCTTGCTAATATTACTGTCAGTAATTACTGTTATTAGTAATATCTTTGCATGCTCATATTGATGTCAATATGACTGACTATTATCAGTACCACATTATCATTAATATCATCTTTTATCATCACTTTATCCTTTCAATATCGTTATCCTCATCACTGTTCTCTTCTAGTATCGTTATCTTTCATTATCATTATCCTTTCATCCATCGTTATCCTTTCATATTATTATATCATATCATATATCCATATCCTCCATCATTATATCCTTCCATTATCATTATCCTCCATTATTTCCCCTATGCCTTTCATTATCATATACCTCCATTATCACTGTTTCTTCCATTATCATTATCCTCCATTATTCTTCCTATGATACTTTAAGAAAATAATGAACCACTCCTTAATAGGTCAATGCGTCCCCTTCGATGACGTCAACCACAGCCAACGACAGAATCCTCAAGTACAAACTAGTGGATGACCTTATTAACATTGTGCTGCCCACCTGACGGGATACCCAAGTAAGTCATCGGGATTTCTTTAATGCTTTAATTAGTCTTTACTGTTATGCTACATGATGAGTGTTGCG